CATAAAATTTCAGGACAAATCAGTGGAATTTTCAGATGAGGATGCCCAAGATTATGTGGGTTATTACAACTTCTCAAAGGGACATTTGGCAACATTGAAACGGAGTTACGTTTCTTCGTGCGGGAAACGACAAATTAGGCTTTCACTGTACCGATTATTGAAAATGATAGACATAGCCATAGACAAAGATGACGAAAGCGATATGGATGAATCCTATTGGTGGATTTTTGTGATTGTAAAGGACAAATGAGGTTGGTAATAGACTAAGGCACGACAACCCAAGAGAGACTATATAGTTATTCCATCATTTTTTCCCTTAGTCTTTAAGAACCACTCATTTCAACCAATAGGATCTTTCTATACTCCTTATATCTGCTTTGTCTATAGCTTTGTCTATAAATGTTAATAATCGGCTCTCAGGGGAGGTTGTGCATGAATATTCGTCTAAAACTGCAAATTTTGATGAGTTCATTTCAACACGATATAACTGGGCAAGGTTCTTGACAATACGCTTTTCATAGTGCGTTGGAAATCTAATTGTGCCGATGAGAGCAATACCTTATTTGTTGTATAATTTTCAAGGCCGGATATTGGGGGTGGCCACATGGGCCGCGGCCCATGGGGGCAAATTTATGGGGCGGCAAATGTTGTACACTGGAAAAAAAACACATTGGATCTAGAGTCCAGACTCTTAAAAAACATCGACAAGAAAAATACTCTTGATTCAGTCGGATTTTTGCTTAGATCAAGAACGAAGCCCCCTAATTTGAGCGTATTTCCTTTTGATTTAAGCAAAAATCTGATTGAATCATGAGTATAATTTCTTGTCAATGTTTTCAAAAATCTAGACTGTAGATCCAAAGCGTTTTTTTTTTTTTTTTTTTTTTTTTTTTTTTTTTTTTTTATTTCGGTGTAATTTTTTCAAATGCAGGTATCAAGAAAAAAACCTGATTTAGAAAAAAAATACAAACGAGAAAAGGCGAAAAAATCTCTCATTTCCTGAGAGTTAAATTGTAGTAATTTCTAATTTGTTCATCCTTCGGCGATATAAGTGACAGCGCCTTTCATTAGTCTAGTTAAGAGAGAAACCAAACACGCAATTTGGCCTGGAGCGGCGCGGCGGCGCGGCGCAGACAGCAGTGATGATGAGGACGTGAGACGGAAAGGAGAAGCCCTCGGCGCGCAGGCAACACATATTATAGACTCCGTGAATACTTAACGCATTGCGCCAAACACAGTGCGGTTGGCGCGGTGACGGAAATTAAAATCATTAAACCACATTCATGTTTATTCTTTCATAATTTGTTCGTTCATTTCTTATGAATGAAAGGCCTTGTCCACTCAGAGGTAGGTTTACGGGATTTAATTTTCGTGCAAAGTTCCGTGAACTTTTGCTATTGTTGACAGGTCTTTCACAAAAAATGTGTCCAACACGAGTAAACGCGTCTTACCCCTCCTCCTCCTGCACGTTCACTTAATGGTTTGTATCGATGTTTCAAAACGAACAAGAAGGGGCGGCAACTATAGTTGCCGCCCCTGGTTACGCCCGGTTACGCCCCGGTTTACCTATAGGTAAATCCGGCCCTGATGATTTTAAGTGAAATACATATAGTTGTAAATTAAAGTTTATTTTTCTGGTTTCCATCGTATTGTCTTTTTGGTGTGCAAGCAACCGATAGGTCGAAATGAGGTTAAAGAAAAACTGTTGTCTCACGAGAAAGTATTTCAAGAATTGAGTTACTTGCCCAATATCTGTTTGTCTATTATACATGACAAAGCATAGTAAGATGATAGAGACATTTAAAATGTCCCAAGAAAGCTTTTGCTGAGTCATAATCAGCAAACTGTGCCCCTAAAAAACGTACACACGTACATAAAATGTAATGAAAATGCAATGACAGAATAGGAGGTCAAAATCCTAAATTTATTAGAGGAACAAGTCAATTACCAGAACTACCGATAAATAAGGGCATAGCTATGAAAAAAGCATGACTATTGCGTGAGAAATCACTGCATCTGAAAATCTGAAAACGATCATTTATTATACAGATAAAGTATTCTAAAAGAAGTGCCAGTTAATCTTCTTCAAGTAACAAAAATAAAACACAAAATGCCAATATCTTTATGATTTGTTAAAAAAGCTCAAACTTTCATATATTTTTATAGGAATGTCACAATACCGCTTAAGTGTGTTTCAGTACTTAAAGTGTTTCTACCATGCAGCGCAGAGGTGGAACAATAGACTATTTTCCTCAAGAATGTTTGATCCAGAGGCGCATATGCAACAATAGTTCAAGGGGTCTTTATATTCTCCCTCGTTTTCCATTTCTTTGGCCGTTTTTGTGACCAATGGAAGAATCACTGTATTCACTGTTGAGATCGATCTGGCTCGTAAAACACTCGATGCACATGGAAGATTAAAGAACTTTGCAATCGGAACTCCCAAGCAATATTAAACCTGAAAATCTTGTTGTCGTTTAAATATAGTTTTCCTGTAAATTACGGGATGTGTTTCAACCACTCACGGTACTTTCAAGATGAAAACGAGCTTGACAAAATCACAGCAAGGCAAACCAGAAATGTGGCTATTTTCAGCCATACAACTTATGTTTAAATGTTGTTCAATATTTTTTATTTTTTGAAATTTTGTGAGAGCCGAAAATTTTGTATTGAAATTTTGAATAATTTACAGAGAAGTCTCACTTTAAGAATAAACGCCTCAAGGGCTGAAAGGCGTAACATGTGTACATATGGGTCAGGGATGGAATTGACCCAGATTATTAGGCAGCTCACGCTTTTATAGACTTGATGACGTCGCGGTAGGTCTGACTTCAAGTCTATACGCGATTGGCTGGCTATAATCAGTGGAACTGTCAGTTACAAGTCTAGTCATTAATTTTATAGGTGATGGCTGGATGATAGGATTAAAAAGACGAAAAGTGAGCAGAATCCAGTCATCCCTATTCAGAAGTATGAAAGTAAATAAAAATTTGGAGTTTGAGAATTAAATATGAGAAAGTGTTGACAAAGTGATTCAATATTTATTGAATATTTATATAATCGAAAGTTTATTTACTCGTTGCTACCAGAGGGAGTTTTGATGCAGTTTTAGAGAGCATTTTAAATGTTTTAAGATGGTAGTCTAATCTCACACGGTTCAAAATTTTCCAATTTTCACTTACTAGATCGGAAGCACAAAATCCATGTTACTATACTGCATACTGAAACTTTTCGCAAAAAATACAAACTTTCTATAACTTTTATATTCATCGACATCCATTATTTCTCTCGACATCCTTCATGGCATCATTTATAGTTGACAAATGTGAAATGATGATCTTCTAGCCAGTCAGTGATATGCTCAGTGTATCCGAGGACCTAGAGCGGATTTATGAGTGAACGGAATAAAACTTTGCATTTTAAAAGTGTTCATCATCACATCTTAATTTGTATTAGCTGTTGACTTTAAGAGAGATGTTGGGTGAATTAGTGCCACAGAGAGCACTTCGATACGGACAATTGAAGTGAAATCAATAAAACGACGGTGCAAGTCGGCAATCACATAACTCGTTTGCGGTGTCTGAAAATCTCCGCAACTATGTTATTTTTTTAAAGGAGAACAAATGGACATGATTCCTTGCAGTTTTTGCAGAATTTTCCTCGCACATAAAAGAAAAATCACGGCAGTTTTATGGAATTACCGTTGACTAGTTTTCTGTTTAAAAAATAAAGTATGACAGGAAGTCTGCGACGTCGCAAATCGAGTTATGTGATTGCCGACTTTCACCGTCGAAAATCACTTTCACACTGGGGTATTTCATCCCAAAAGAGAAAAACGACGTAAGAAGGAACGGTAGACATTCTCGAATTCCTCAAATTTATAGATAAAATACGAGCAAGCACAGTTAAAAAAAATTAACACCATTCCTGGGAGTGCAACGTCAAACCAAGTCTCCTAACATTGATGCAGGTCTTATAAAGATGAAAAGATTTATCACTCTAAACTTTAATGGAGCTTTAAGACACACACTGATAAAAATATTTGTGTTCTTAAGTTACTTTTGGTGTGTTACTGTGTTAATTTTTCTGAGTTACCTCACATGAGGTTCATTCACTCATGATACCATTTCTCACTTCTTAGTCTTCAAAAATGGTATTAATCCATGACTCCATACAAACTAGCTTTACATATCGATGAAGAAGCATTTGCGAGTTTGAAGGATCTTATGAAATTGTTTTGATTGTTATTCGTTTAGATTAAAAGATTTCCAAGTAACAATTGCTATGGACGATCGGATCCTTACATTGAAGCTTTTAGAGATGCAATTCTTTCATAGGTAGGAACTTTACTCTGCATGAGAATGCTTCCCTAAAAACCAGCCAATACATTAGTGTACCTTCATATATTAATGCACCTATCTAAATTTAGACATGAAGAGCATGTTGTATATCTTTTTTGTAAGGAGCCAAAAATGTGACAGGAAACGTCGATTACAAGACTGTTGCTTCCTTGATGTCCTACAGCCTAGTTTTATCTGTCCTACTATTCTGCCGTGCCAAGGAAAAACGCCGTATGAACATTCGAGAGTTACCAAATTTCCTTCGATAAAATGTTTATTTTTGAGGAAAATTATGAATATTTTTTCTTGAAATCTTTAGAAACTTCGGGTGATATTGTGAACAAAATTATGTGAAAAATTGGAGGAAAAATATTGACAAATTTTCTAGAAAATTCGTGATTTACCAAAGGAAATTTGGCAACGCCTGAAGGCTCATACGGCGTTCTTCCTGAGCACGGCAGTATTGGCTATACCAGCAAATAATTTACTTCTATCAGACTTTTCATGTACGCTCATTTTGATGAGTTAACGGTAAGAGATAAAAATGCATCACTCAAACTTCTTTACGAATGGCTCAATTAAACAATGTAATAATTTAATCTATTTTCTTAGGGGTTTCAGCACAAAGTGAAATTCAACGATTCTTGTACATTTTTGTTATTATTTTTTGTTTAAAACTTAAATCGAATGTGCATTAGATTAATACATCTGTCGGTACATTTAGCAACCTCAGTATGAAATAAATTCATTGATTACTGTTATCGAGAATTCCAGATAAGTAATCTCAATTTTTCCATTCTTTTATCTCAGTGCATTGCGCCTACACTTTTTTGTAGAGAAATTCTGAGGAACAAACTTTTGAGTCTATGAAATGTGTTCATTATGGTCCCTGTGAATAAATTACTCTACCCGACTCGCCTTTCCGGTAAAATGGGGGATTTCTTTATTTTTCGTTTAAGACCCAAATACTATGAAAACTCCGAATTTTTTGCTGTGTTTTTGAATAATTGATCCAATTCTATAAATCAGAAAAATCTTCCAAAACAATGCACATTTTTTACCTATCTTTCAATTTACAAAGAATACGTTCAGTTCTTATTTTATGGCTTTTCTTTAAGTTTGCTTTTACGATTATTCAATTTCCGATTCACGTTATAAAGACCGAGTTAGAAAGAGAAATTATGTTGCTAAAACACGAAGTGATTCCTGACTACATTAGTTCTGTACCAAATCAAACTTTGAAGGTAACTCCTGTTTTATGTATTCATTTAACTTGACGTTCCACCAAACATATATTAGCTCTATAATTAGATGGGTATTTTCTACAAGAGAAGAACACGTTCTGCGCCGACAAACGCTCCACTGATCGCTGAGTTAAGGTAATCAGAGGCTAACAAACCAAAGTTCCTTCATTTTTTGTGTATGCAATAAGGGTACCAATTAAGCACGAACAGTTGCAATCGGAAGTCATCTTGAAACTTAGCATCTCTGTCTTAAATATCGGGAAATCCATGAAATATGATGAAACTTTTTTCTTTCTTTTTCTATTTTTTCCTGATTTTGTACGAAGTATTAGAGTGTTTAGAGTAACTAAATTATTATGATTTTGTTCCGTTGGACGGTCAACTAGACACAGGAGTTTCTATATGTTTGACGTAACCAGCAAAAATAATATCAGCGAATAAAATTAAAAAAATGCTATTGTGTACATAAATGCTATTGTAAATATAAAACATCAATACACAGACTCGGACTGATTTTCTTGACTCAAATTCTACATAATAGAAACATAGAGATCATAATGAAGCATAAACTTTTGCATAACATTGAGAAGTATCAGAGAGAAAACCACCATAGCCTAAGTCTAAGAGCAACCAAGTTTTCCTTTCCACTTGTGTGTCATCGTTTATTTTTAACCTAAAAGTAACCAAAAATTATATTTTAGAAATTTCCAAGATTTACCATTTTACGCAAAGCTCTTCAGCCTTTGAGGCCGGTCCGAATNTAGTCTTCAAAAATGGTATTAATCCATGACTCCATACAAACTAGCTTTACATATCGATGAAGAAGTATTTGCGAGTTTGAAGGATCTTATGAAATTGTTTTGGTTGTTATTCGTTTAGATTAAAAGATTCCCAAGTAACAATTGCTATGGACGATCGGATCCTTACATTGAAGCTTTTAGAGATGCAATTCTTTCATAGGTAGGAACTTTACTCTGCATGAGCATGCTTCCCTAAAAACCAGCCAATACATTAGTGTGCCTTCATGTATTAATGCACATACCTAAATTTAGACATGAAGAGCATGTCATTGTATATCTTTTTTGTAAGGAGCCAAAAATGTGACAGGAAACGTCGATTACAAAACTGTTGCTTCCTTGATGTCCTACAGCCTAGTTTTATCTGTCCTACTATTCTGCCGTGCCAAGGAAAAACGCCGTATGAACATTCGAGAGTTACCAAATTTCCTTCGATAAAATGTTTATTTTTGAGGAAAATTATGAATATTTTTCCTTGAAATCTTTAGAAACTTCGGGTGATATTGTGAACAAAATTATGTGAAAAATTGGAGGAAAAATATTGACAAATTTTCTAGAAAATTCGTGATTTACCAAAGGAAATTTGGCAACGCCTGAAGGCTCATACGGCGTTCTTCCTTAGCACGGTAGTATTGGCTATACCAGCAAATAATTAACTTCTATCAGACTTTACACGTACGCTCATTTTGATGAGTTAACGGTAAGAGATAAAAATGCATCACTCAAACTTCTTTACGAATGGCTCAATTAAACAATGTAATAATTTAATCTATTTTCTCAGGGGTTTCAGCACAAAGTGAAATTCAATGACTCTTGTACATTTTTGTTATTATTTTTTGTTTAAAACTTAAATCGAATGTGCATAAGATTAATACATCTGTTGGTACATTTAGCAACCTCAGTATGAAATAAATTCATTGATTACTGTTATCGAGAATTCCAGATAAGTAATCTCAATTTTTCCATTCTTTTATCTCAGTGCATTGCGCCTACACTTTTTTGTAGAGAAATTGTGAGGAACAAACTTTTGAGTCTATGAAATGTGTTCATTATGGTCCCTGTGAATAAATTACTCTACCCGACTTGCCTTTCCGGTAAAATGGGGGATTTCTTTATTTTTCGTTTAAGACCCAAATACTATGAAAACTCCGAATTTTTTGCTGTGTTTTTGAATAATTGATACAATTCTATAAATCAGAAAAATCGTCCAAAACAATGCACATTTTTTACCTATCTTTCAATTTACAAAGAATACGTTCAGTTCTTATTTTATGGCTTTTCTTTAAGTTTGCTTTTACGATTATTCAATTTCCGATTCACGTTATAAAAACCGAGTTAGAAAGAGAAATTATGTTGCTAAAACACGAGGTGATTCCTGATTACATTAGTTCCGTACCAAATCAAACTTTGAAGGTAACTCCTGTTTTATGTACTTATTTAACTTGACGTTTCACCAAACATATATCAGCTCTATAATTGCATGGGTATATTCTACATGAAAAGAACACAGTCTGCACCAACAAACGCTCCACTGATCTCTGAGTTAAGGTAACCAGAGGCTATCAAACCAAAGTTCCTTCATTTTTTGTGTTTGCAATACGGGTACCAATTAAACACGAACAGTTGCATTCGGAATTCATCATGAAACTTAGCATCTCTGTCTTATATATCGGGAAATCCATAAAATATGATTAAACTTTTCTCTTTCTTTTTCTATTTTTTTCTGATTTTGTACTAAGCGCTAAAGTGTTTAGAGCAACTAAATTATTATGATTTTGTTCCGTTGGACGGACAACTAGGCACAGGAGTTTCTATATGTTTGACGTAACCAGAAAAAATAATATCAATGAATAAAATTAAAAAAATTCTATCGTGTACATAGAATGCTATTGTAATTATAAAACATCAATACACAGACTCGGACTAATTTTCTTTACTCAAATTCTACGTAATTGAAACATAGAGATCATAATGAAGCATAAACTTTTGCATAACATTGAGAAGTATCAGAGAGAAAGCCACCATAGCCTAAGTCTAAGAGCAACCAAGTTTTCCTTTTCACTTGTGTGCCATCGTTTATTTTTGACCTGAAAGTACCCAAAAATTATATTTTAGAAATTTTCAAGATTTACCATTTTACGCAAAGCTCTTCAGCCTCTGAGGCCGGTAATGATGCTTATTTCTGAATCTAGGTGACATGGATATCAAATGAAACTGGTGAGAAGATTATATCAAATTTTGGCAATGTCATTAGACCCCAAGACCTAATCAACATACCTACCGTTGAGTGGAAAGCAGAGCCGAACACAAATTATACAATAATAATTTCAGGTAAACTGTCTAAGTTACTTCAAGAATCCAAATTTTAATTTGGAGCAACCCCCCCCCCCCCTAGGGTCTCCTATTGCGTAAATCTACTCTCGATTACTATACGCAGAAAATCCGAGCACTCTAGTTTTCGGTAGCTTAATGGCGCGGCGTTACAACATTGTTTTGCAGTTTGAGACTGACTGCAGTCATGGTACAGTAAATTATTAAAACTATGTTTATCTGTCACATAACACGAATGAGAACGTATACCTATTTTAAATTGGATGAAAAACAGGACATGAATAAATTACTCCCGTACCGTTCACCTTTTGCCTTTGAAATTGTAGAGAAGAAACAATTACTCATAAAATATTTTGAAAAAAAAAACGTAAACAAGGGGCGTGTGTTTAAAATTATAATAAAAGTCGCATGGTAAAAATCACGTAGTATATCGATTATTTAATCAGTGAAAAATCATGAAATAACTCCTTCTTTGTCATGTAGCGCAGCATTCCTACGTGTCATTTTAAAGGGATAAAATGCCCAGGGTTTTACATTGAATCCTTGTATTGTTTAGTATTTAAAGAAGAGTATGGAATTTGTAATGAACCTCTTATTTTTTAATGATTTCATTCCTCGTATCCATCCGCTCGTATTTTTTCTCTGTAGGTTTCAGTGGCGTGGCGTGCTTTTCGATCTATCAATGTTTCCCCATTTGAAGCTGTGGTAAATAATCGATTATTAAGGTGTTCGCTGCAAACACCTTGTTTGTCAATACTTTTCCATAGGTTTAAATGGCAGATCAATCGATATATCGCAAATCACGCCACGCCGCTGGTAGGTTTCGTCTCGGTTGACAGGGGTAAATAATTGCATTACATTAATATTTTTGAAAAATCATAAGGGCTGTGCATTTACCTCTCGGCCACCACTCTTTACTCTAAATTTTTTTAGGTCTCTGCATGTGAAAATAAATGGTTTTGTTGTGTTTGTTCCCTTCTCATAGAAATTGATGCACCGTGCCGTTCCTCTCGGTATAAAGTTGAGAAGCAAGTTTGGTTAGTCGTAAACATTCCACAGACAAACATTTCTGCAGGAAAAACGTTGACCTCCTACGCAAGGCCAACACCGTGGGCAGACTCAGGTACGATAATTTTTCGCAAGGAATTTCAGCCCAGGCACATAGACCATGTAATCCATATTCGGGTTAAATATGCCCGATAACCGTAACCTAATAAAATCAGGCGATTAAACTTGATGAAAACACGTAACTGCAGCATTACCAACTTCATTGTGTATCAGTCACAATTTCAAGCAGTAGTTACACACTCAAATCATAGAGAAAATACTATGAAACTAAAGGACGTTTGGGGTGAGTTGTCATGGCTGAAATTTCAAGGTCATAATTTTAGAAAATTACATTCGCAGGTAACTGTTCCCGGGAAAAATGCGGTGTGTGATATCATTCAGAGTACCATGTCATTTACATCCACAAGACGGAAAGAGAAGTGTGTTGCAGGTGGTAGTGCGTTTGAAATACCTGACTAATCTTGTATATCACACTGACAGTTAGACGTGTGTTAGACGTGGCTTAATATATCAGCATTAAGTTTTTAACAGACATTCGTGCTCGAACACCTTACACTCGTTCAACACCACCGAAAAATCGGCCGATAGCAAAAAGGTGATACCGCGGCAGAAGAAGGTCCAGCCATTTCAAGCGGAGACGGTGACTTCGGATTCTTGGTCCTTGAAATGGACTACATTTTGCAATTTGGAACTATAAATTCTAGCCCGGTTTAAAAACAACGTATGTGCCATTAGTTTCCTCATGCACATAAGTGTTTTTCTAGAAGAGCCAGCATTTATAGTTCCAAATTGCAAAATGCAGTCCAAATGGCACTTTACACAACTTTTCCTGTCCTTTCGCTCTTCCACTAGTACTTTCCAGCGTCCCCTGCTCATCTAAGGTGGTTAAATTCTCCTGCCAGTATCAGACTGACGATTATTGCTATATTTCTCCGTGGTGTTGAATGAAAATTCAGTGTTCGCCAATAGTTATTTGCTCAACATCTCTCAGAAAGCTCTGTCACAGTATAAAAAAATTAGTGCCGGCCGGTGCGTGAATTTTAAATGAACATTTTGTGACTTCTAAAACAATTTTTTGCATCATGTATATCACTTCTTGAAGTATCCAACGATTCATTATTGAACCGATACTAGGGGCTTATTGATATTTTTGCATGTTGACATTGAAACTGCAAGAACATTTATCTTGTTTGGTGTGTTTTCAAAATAACTGCTCCCATTTTATACTGTCGAAAAAGAACAAACCAACGTTAGTGATTAACATTGTTACAAAGTATTTTTCACATAGATAAGAAAAATCAGGGAATTTTTCAAGAAATGAGTACCATTTTCCCATTTAAAAAATAAAGTAGGACGGAAGTCCGCATTGTCGCAAACCAAGATACCCGCTCCTGCGGTTTCATCATCTACATGAAACTAACTTTCCTCTCCATACCTACGATGTACTACTACATGCAATTAACTGCATTTCATAGTTAATCATTGCCGTATACTTAAGCATGTAATTAACTAAGATTTTATACTCCCAGGAGAAATAAGAGTGCAAGTTAGCGTGTACAAGCAGCATAAGCCTGGAATTGACTGGAGTTGGGTACCGCGGCTTTATGAAAAGTAAGTAAAACACTAAAGAATGAGCATGGGGATTGATTAAAAAATCGAGCTACAAGCTAAAATAAACAAGTAATATTTCAAACTATATGAACATTTATGAAAAATAATACAAAACTTACAAGAAACAAAGCAAACGTTACGACTGCGTTACTTGTTTATTTTGGCTTGTTGCTCGATTTTTTAATGAATTACCATGTTCCATACAGCTTAGCCAGTCCAATTTGGCAAAAACATGTATTTAAGAATGAGTTTGATCAATTTGGGCAAATACCATGGTTTCTTCCCCCTTAACTTCGTCAAATACTGTTACACGCATTTGCACGTACTGGTTGGCTCGACTTAGAGCTCTGATGAAAGAAAAGTGGATGAAACCATGGTATGCACTACCGTGCACGGAGAAAAAAACTTCGTGCGTGGGACCCGAAGTTGAGGTCATATGGATCTCTGAAGTTTTTGGATCACGTATCTAAAAACTTGAGGTCCAGCTGCCAAAGTTCGAGTTAGACATCTGAAGTACTTCGATATATACCGAAGGGTTCGGGTCACACATCTGAAGTACTCCGGTACATACCGAAGTGCCTCGATGTCTGACCCAAACCTCGGCAGCTCGACCTCAAGTTTTCGGATGCGTGATCCGAAAACTTTAGAGATCCATATGACCTCAACTTCGGGTCCCATGCACGAAGTTTTTTTCTCCGTGCACGAGGAAACACATTTCTTAACTAGAAAATTGCACTTTTATCCGATAATTAGTGGGTCTGGACTCTCTGGATTGCAGTACATGGAAAAGTCAAGCTACATCTGGTCAACTCAAGGAGAGGAGGAGGGCTCAAAAAGTTTTAGAGTTTTTCTAGAGTCATAATGAACACGCATACATATGGGTCGCATTATAGCATTCTTTGGCGCTCAATGACCCCTGACCTCGAGCGACCTAACGCGTCAGGAATGAAACGGTACGGGAGATCATGGATGCCAAAATAGACCATCGTGCATGACATATGACGAAACAGCTCATTTGGTATGGTCATGTTCAGAGAATGGCAGGAGTCAGATTGCCGAAGAAGGTCCTTGATTGGGCTCCTCCTATGAGAAGGCGCAGAGGGCGCCAATGCGCGGTTGGAGGGATGGGATTGAAGCAAAAATATTAAGGTGCTCAATTACCAGAGAGAGGGCAATGGAGGTTAAGTGTCGTAGGGCGTGGTAATGAACCAAATTTAAAAATCTATGGCGCGTTAGAAAGCTGAGAGTATTGACTACTTAACGCTGTTTACAAATGTCCTCTATCAGTCTTAGTATAGAAGAAATTGATTACTATCCAGACGACCCTCATATAACTCACAATAATCAAAACAAGATTCTGGACTAGCATAACTGTCCATTTCTGTGCTAGAAAAACAGTGGTCCTTTTGGGCGCTTCTGGGTACCAGATGCGCCCTTTCCAGCCGTTCGACTCCCCCGATGTAACATGTACTATACTACATACCGTTTTGCCTTATGGGTAATGACGCCATTCTAGTACACCCGGGAAAATTTGATTTTCTTCTGCATCTGGTATTCGTAAAAGTTTTCGTGAAATGTTTTGCTTTTAAGCATAACAATCTCGCACGGACGTATTACCTGGTTAAACTATTTTGGGGCTTCGTTATGCTTAAATGCCTCATATTCGAGGTTGTAGTGTCAGATTGATTCAAAAAAATCACGAACAGTCACGTGATCTCATCATTTTAGTGACGTATTACTGTGCTATTTTGTGATTGGTTCATTTTCTCGGCGCAGCATCGTCAAGCGTCAGCTGTTTGCGGCTCTGGAGTTATGTCAGAGAGAATAGAAAGTTAGAGGCCCGACTCGATGCTAGGTAATTGAAACATATGCGCTCGCAGCGCGCTCGCTGGCAACGTACGCAACTACTATTTTCTATTGTTTTCCAGAGACTAGCGGCGGGTATGTTGCTGCCGGACCACCTTCACGTAGGCAATTTGTTATACATCGTCCGTCCGCAATACTCTCGCTTGGCCGTATGAAAACGTTCCTCGCATGCGCAGTGTTAAAGAAGCGCCCTCCAACGCTTTGGCGTTAGAACTGCTTGTTTTCATTTATACTTCGTTGTAACATGCATATGTATAAACTCACTGAAAAAGCTACATCCAGATTATATGAGGGTATACGCGCCATATTATGTGAATTAATAAATAAATGAGACTAGTTTTAATTTTCGCATCTTTTTTTCTTTATATTACAGAGCTTCAGACCGATCTCGTGAATGCTTCTCTTCAAAGAACTTCACCCAAAAGTACGGTATGAGTGACGTCATAGCTATCAACTTCTTCCTCACTGAATGGAACCCGAAAGTGACTTATCCTGAGGACGAATACGAATCTTACGAGGATGAAGCCCAATGGTTATGAAATAAAATAAATATCAGTAACAATAGCAAGGATGAGGACCAAATCAATATTTTTATTGAGAATAATCCTTTGCTAGGGGGGGAGGGGGAGTGGAGATTTTTTCATAGGATAGAATTAGTGTGTATAAAGTTTATGTGAGTAATTTTAGTTTTCATAATTTATCGTGAATTTGAGTTTTATTGTGCGAGTTTCAATTGCTCGGTTCTTTAATTTATTTCCTATTTTATATTTTGGTTAATAATTCGTACTGTACTTTAAATCAGAATGAGGCTCAAGTTCATACTGTTCAGAAATTTTATAATATAGCCAAATGGATTACGTGCTGCAATGAGGAACTGCTGTTTCTGGCTCATACATTAAAACACCAATCTGCATGAGGAAGCTAATTGAAAGTGCATCGTTTTTTAACGAGTCAAAAATAGCACTGCCTAATCGCAAATAAAATTCAAATTGCTTCTCTATTGTCTGTTTTCTATTATTTTAAGCAGTTTCAAGTTTGACATGAATTAGGTTTAGATCGGCGTGGCAACTAAACTAACTGTGAAACAAAGCGTAGAGTATCGTACGAAACTGAAGGCGCTTCAAGTCACATCGCCTTCTCCTGAGGATCTAAGATCTCTGAAGATTTATCGTGGGGAAACTATAGCGATGTCGCAGGCAAGTATTGAAATCAGGCATTTTGTCAAATGCCTAGGCAGATAGTTAAATTTTGATGGTCTACAAAATTCATGAATTAATGGCGAAGAGTTCACGAATTTTGGAAAATAACTTATCAAACCTACGAACACTTTTTGGCTCTTCCTCTTCAATCGCCTCTCCTACTTTTCAAATGCTGACATTCTAAAAATTCCGTATTTTATGACATGCTGAAAACAGGATAAGTGTCTGTTCAGGAGCTAAAAATTGTCTAAAATTCTATTGTATGATGCAGATTTTTACCGAGGATTTTTTCTTGCAGGAGCAATGCATTATTTTGTCTAAAATTAAGAGAAGAATCAGAATTTCAATTTAAGTTAGAATATTTGACTACTTGCCTAGGCATTTGACAAAATGCCTGATTTAAATATTCGTTTGCAACAGCGACACCCTCGCTCTTTAGAGATTCTTTAATCAAAACATTATATTTAAAATGTTCAATTTCCTATTTCTCGCACATAAAACAACAATTTTGATACAGCATGAACGTTGGCGCTTAGTAACGCCCATTGCCTGTGGGGTAAGAATCAGTCCGAAGCTGGTGGCGATAGTATATCATATGTAATAATTTTTGTACAGTGGTTGAACTGTAGTCACTGTCTTAAGGATTTTGGAGAGAGCAATCATAATGTGAATGAATATACGAATGCTCCTTGATGGACTTTGTGTACTGAAGGTTTCTATGACATAGGACCTCAAAATCACGATTCTAATATGATTGTCCTCATCTATTTGTGATACTCGACGCTCTGTCACTCAATTTGTTTAATTTCCTGACCAACCTTAATACAACTCAGCGCCTTGAGGAGAATATTTCATTTTACATTTTAGACTTATTTTCGGCTTTTCGTTTCCGCAATTCGCGCTTTATTTTCTGGCTGCATACTGCGCATGCTAAAAGATGCTTGTAGAATTTAAGTATCTATGGATTAATGAAATTTTCTACAAGTTTTGAATAAACAGAGTGTATGAAAAATGATTGTGTTATTTATTAGTTATGGAGATAATAGATTAAATGATGTTAATCGGTCAAACAAACATTGTATTGCAGAAAGAATTAGAACATTCGTTGATAACATATCACAGGCAGTTACTTACTTTAAATCCTGTAGAATAATTTGAGACTAATTCAAAAGTGTGTGCCAATAGTGTAAAACTCTAACAAGAATAACAAGAATAAATGGAATTTCGCGATAGTTCCTTGGGTTTTTTACAAACTAAAGAAAAAATAAAATTCAATTGGTGTCACATCTTAAAATTACTAATTAGAGAAAATCAGGATGGGCTAAAATTGATTTAAAACCTATTAAGGAGGGCGTCACGCAAGTAGTATACAAATGAGAAGTCTGACGACTTTGCAACCTGGGGTCAACGACCCCAAAGCGCAGTAGTATGTTCACAACTTTAAGCGTATCTCTGTTCTGAAACCCATTCATTAGGTATTTTTCGAAGTATGAAAATAAATCGTCCCTCCTATGACGTAAGGGGGTACATCGATTCGTACATGAGCCTTAGAAAGCGTGGGTTTATGTGTAAAACTGGGCTCAGTTCATTGGGAAAATCATGTTTTACGTGAACTCTGACGACTTTGCAACCTGAGGTCAACTACCCCAAAGCGCAATAGTATGAACACGACTTTAAGCGTATCTCTGTAGAAACCCATACATTATTTTTCGAAGTATGAAAATAAATCGTCCCTCCTATGATGTGAGGGCGTACATCGATTCGTACATGAGCCTTAGAAAGCGGGGATTTATGTGTAAAACTGGCCTCACTTCATCGCGAAAATTAGGATTTACGTAAAATTTTGCATTTGGAAAAAAAAAAATCCCCCCACTTACCTTCTAACTTCCGAGAAAGGAAGATCTCTGAAAATGCCAGATCTGCAGATGGAGTATTTTTTGAACTTTTCCGAATCTTGGCAAACTTTGCAGACACGAAGTCTGTTGTTTACTTTGATGGATTGTAGGTAAACGGAGGCTTCCGATGACGGTGTCATTTTCTACATCGAGAGGGAAAAATTTGGGAAGAGCCGCAGACCGGACTACCACACTCTGGCACTCTATTTCGGAGACTAAACAAACATGTGTTTTTTTTCTTTCCTTTTTTTGCAAGAGTTTCGCCGTCGATGATTATCACCTCCTTCTCTGGACAGTTTCCCCCTCTACCTTCCCAGGTAAGTACCCGAAGAATTATGATCCAACCGAACGGACCGAAATTCGTAAGAGCACCAAAAATAACCTACCACAATAATAAATATTTTACAATGACATCAAACCGTCGCTAATATTGTTTAATTAGTCTAGACATCTACGTCATACAAGGTCGTCCTACCTCAACAGTTCAGAGACCCTCCCAAGTTCAACGTCACCCCATGTGCAGACAATCATGTGTTTTGCGCAAGCGTTCGCCGTCGATGAACTTAGTCACCAGTTCCTTCTCTCGACAGTAACCCCCTCTACCTCTCCAGGTAAGTACCCGTATAAATAAAAACAAAATCTCACCTTTTTTCTGACATATCATGTCTACGGGTAGCTGCAAATTCTGCCACAAGCAAGCTGCAACTAAAAATAGGGTGACATTGTGTATAAACCACGTGCGCGAGTACGCAAGTTCGTGTAAAGCCTACCATTTAACTCGAAAGGATTCCCGAGGGAACAATTTATACAATAACAAACTTTTAGATCACGCTAAAGCCATTAGTTTTCCATTGGACGAAATCATCATCCGCGTTGCTCTAAAGAATCATTCCTACAAGTATCTTGGGGGTGAGGAAACTCGAATGCGCATTGACCACTGCATCAAGTATTTCGACGGCAAGCTTGACGACGGACACTTACAATTGGACCGCGTTTAACAGAAAGGAACCAAGCCACATCAGCTATTGCCAAATTTAATTGGGCAATTTAATATTTTACGAGAGAATGTTTGTGTGGATTCCTTTGAAAAATTTAAGGAATTTGCTTTGTACTGTAGAGAAAATCCACCGAAATTTGCACGAAAATCCGTACATCCGTTTTCATGTAAAAAATTAAATTGCTCGATTAAATTTGGCAATGGCCGATGTGGCTTGGTTCCTTTCTGTTTAACGCGGTCCAATTCTGTCAGAACCTCACTTATAAACTACCTTCTAAAGTAACAAGTGACGACATGCTCAACGTGATAATTGCTTGTGTGTGCGACCAATTAAAATCATTTGGTTAAAAGTAAGTCAACAAAGTATGAAAAGGAGGGTGACCTAAATTAGTCTCATTAAAAAATGTGTTTTTTTTAAGTAAACATAGAACTATGGGTCGACAGTTTTAATTTATTTCTCCTGTCATCCTTTCACTTGTGATTCTAAAATAATATCCTCATTAAGTGGCTTATCGGAGGTTACTGTACAGTAGGGGTGATCGAAATTCCCGACTTGAGCGCTATACAATCCGGATAGGGAAAAAAGGTGGCCAAATTGCATGTAGATTACGGGAAAAATCGTCCGCAGCCGTAATTCCAACGGGAACATGGCGCTCAAGCCCTTCGAATATTTGCATCATTAAAATACCTAAAAAATCAGGTTTTTTCTCATTCGGGTCGGTGTAGGTGCCCTCAAGCACGCAATTGCATCATCAAGCACATGTTTTCCTACGTATTTTTTCACGAGAAATCGATTTTACTGGTTTTCAAAACGATATATCGTTGTATTTAATCGATATATCGATTTTTCATTCGATTTTTGAGAAAAATTTAGTAATTTTTAACATTAACTGTATCAAATTCTATTAATTTGTGATATATAGGCAAAAGTTTTAATGCATAAGTAAACTAGTGCTCACGTAAACTTTTTTACACAAGGCTTTCACCCTTAAAGCAGCGTACACTGACCATTCTTCAGTTAGGGTAAGTACTAGATGATGGCCGGAATGCCGGGATCCTCGGCGTCGCAGCGATCGCGTTTCATGACTCATCATTCGAAAAAACATTTTTTTCGAAATCTGACGACGGGTACCTAGTGAAGGTGAGTTGCCTTTTGGCATCAAATGACGAGGAAAAAATCCTGGCTCCATAAGACAACACTTTCATCGAAAACATGAGGTTCGAACTTCCAAAATCTCAAATTTTCGTTTTTACCGTGTTTTTTTTTCTGAGATAATTTCTGGATGATAGAAAAGACACAATTGACACGTACCCTATGTGTTTTAATAGATAATTTGAGTCAAGGAATCGATTTTTGTGGTTAAAAAATTAAGATATCGATTTAAAATATCGTTTCTTGCGATACTTTGTCCGGAAAAGCGATTTTTTTTTGTGTGTATATCCTAAGAAATTTTGATTCATCAATGCAAGCCTTTGATAAATCGACATTTTGACTTCAAAAATAGATTCACATAGAAATGTAGGTAGTGATGAAAAAAAAAGATGTATGCTATGTAAAAATCCGATTTTCGAAAAAAAATGTTTCAAATCGGTGTCTGGATAATGTTTTTGAGCTTTGCGGGTGCGGTCGTTGACCCCAGGTTGCAAAGTCGTCAGAGTGCCCATTTGTATACTACTCACGCATTCTCCTCGGCAGGGAGTTCTTGAAGGTCCGTATCTCTAGAGCACTTGGGACACTCCACCAAATCCATAAGCTTGAGAGTGAGAGGGTGTTGAGGGCATGTTTGCCTTATACCAACATCCGGTGTAAAAGATTTACAGTAGCCACAATAAACCCCCGATTTTTTGCGGTTACAGATGCACGGAAAATCTTCCATGGAAAGCTTCTTGTAGGCGCCGGTAACGTCATACTCCAGATAGGTGGATCGAGAGTGTGATTCGACTTCAACTCTAACATTCTTCTGCTCGTCGAAGCGGACTTTTTTTCTCGATAAATTTTTATTTGTGTTTTTGGTATTATTCGCATATCTAGCCATCATGTTTGCTGCCGATGTAAGGATAGTAATGTATACTGGCTGGAACGGTTACCCTCCGCCGAATTATTTACTCAAATCTGTAAGGGAAAATCGTGAAAAATTTGAGAAGAATGCCGGAAAAAATTGGTCCAATATTCCACCACTAAGAGGTGAATTTTTGCGTAGGCGATTTTTTTACTTCATTCGAGAAACATATAGTCCCATCATCATAAATTTATACTATTGTATATCAAGCGTGAGATGCCGCAAGAGACAATTTTACTTTCAACCCATGTAATTGCGACGAATAGTTTATGTTCTTTGATTGATTTTAGAGGGTCCATACAGGAGTAGATTTAGTGTTGACAGGGAACTCTGAGGCCACTTTTGGTGAATTTTGATGCTCCAGCGCTGCTTTAAGTGACGGTTCGAGCGGTCAAAAGAAATAATTCATCAATAGTCTGGCGCAGATATGGGTTTTTTCTGAAACTTCCATGCTGATGAAATTGGGTGATTTGTGATGATAACACTACGTGAAAGTCACTAAAAAATCAGCTCGGTCGTTTGAACCGATCGCTCATGTTTTACATCATCCCAAATATTCGGTTCGTCAAACCGAACTTTCGGTTCGTGTAACCTGACTTCGGTGGTATAGTGAACTGATGAACGAAGTTCGGCCATAAGGAATGTTCATGAATTACGTAACGCTGTGGGAGGGGGGGGGCTGCTATACGCTGCGTTGTAAGGGGGTAGGGGGTCAGTGCCACCGTAATGTGCCTCTCTCTAATGGTGAAAATACAAAATATCCATGCAAAATTTACTATCCATGGTTCTTATAAGTTATTTGTCACACTATCGGAGAAAATACATCAAATTTTATCCAACAGTTTTCACCAATTTTTGGGATCGTAAGGGGAGGGGGTCCGTCATGCATTACGTAATAATTAAGGGGGGTTTGCTTAATTTATGAACGTTCCCATCGAACCGTAAGCTCGGTTACATGAACCGGGATACTCGGTTATGACAAATAAAATAGTTGGGATGGTATGGAGCATCGACCGCTCAGTTCACACGACCTTTTTTCCAGTGAGACTGTCTGTATAAGATTTTAAAATCCCTACCTGATTTTTGACATTAAAATAAAGTCGTGGGTGATTTTTGCTTCAGTCTCTTACCATTGTCTTCAAGGTGTCACTCTCTTTGAAATAATTCTAATAATAATTCTATATGCGTCCAATTTTGGCACAAGTTTACCAGTCTCAAACTACTGCATATACGGCTTTTATAAAAATATTTTGATTTAAACGTAGACTTTTTCTGTTAAAGTGCGCCAGAACAGAAACTTATAGGAAACATGTTTCTTACGATAGATTATTATACGAAACACCAAATGTTCCTTAATACCTCCTTTTAATCCACAACTCAAATGGTAGTAGATCGTATTCGATACATCAAACAGGTGAGATTGTATCGATATCGATTGGTTCAATATGTAAACATAGCCTCAAAAGTCAATTAACAAATCTAAGGTGACGGGTCTTTTGTGATCCAATTTTTATTCTTTCAAGTATCAAATGGCAATGAAAAGTGAAATTTTTAGGAAATTTCTCATTTTCAGCTTTTTCCAAATGAAATCCTAAAATTTTTGTTTGAGGTTGTGTTCTATTGTTTTGAACGAAACGATACACCGAACCACTATCGAATAGGATCTGTGCTTCAATTGAAAAGATGAAGATGAGGATCCATTCGGAGACATCGAGAAAGTCAAGTGATGTGTCGTTAAAGTAGCATGTTGAGCGAACGCTTTATAAAGTGAATACTGAACGAGTAATAAGCTGATACATACTTCACGCAGTAATTGACGTTTCAGCACGGATTAGTTGTAAGTGATATTCAGTGGAACCTATGTCCGGAGTTAACCCGTGAGTCACTTTTGAATGCTGATTTCTGAAAAATCAAGGGATTCATCACACAAAAATCTTCGCGGGTGTGTCCAAAAAAAACCAGTGTCCGCATAAAAATAACAAATTTGGTAACCTCACATTATATATTCTTAAATTGTTTTCTGAGAGGAACAGACGCAGCCAGGCGTAAGAGCGAGTAGTATATGATATTTGACGATGAGACGAATTGATTACATTCAAATGTTCAATAGTTGAGAAAATTGAGTGACAATATTCTGAAGTGACCGATTAAAGTCCAAGCGCAATGAGCGCATCCATAAACTTGTGCTGCAATACATTGTTGGTGTTCACTGTGCTCTTATTTATCCAAGAGGAATGACTTTTTATCAAGATTCCAAACTTAAAGAGGAAATCATTAATTACTGATGTAAAATATAACGCAGGCAGGAATTTCATCTAAAATAATCAATCTACTGATCTGAGATAAGCAAGAGGTTCTCAACAAAACGCCTTCATAACCGTGCCTCATCGCGTGCGTGACCGCATTCGACCGCGAAACAGTGAATATTATGCAAATAATTTGTGCAGTTTGTTCTCGTAATACGTGTTTTCCATTGAACTAATAATATTGGCAATAATTGAAAATTAATACAGGTATGCTTGAATGATTTTTTGTACAATTTCATCCATTTACTTCCTACTTTGTTCCAGACACTCTCTTTTGCCCTACAGCCCACTTAGAAAGTCAAATTTTAAACTCTATTATTATAATAAGTGAGTATATTTTATTCTCAATTCTTGTTTTATGAGGCTCATAATGTAAGAGTAGCATTTCAGATGCATTCGGCTTCAAAACATCTGTTGGCTATGAACGTGGAACACCCAGGGATGTTCTTAGTATAACATTTTAAGCGGTCAAGCTGTATAGACTTTTTATCAAGATTCCAAACTTAAAGAGGAAATCATTAATTACTGATGTAAAATATAACGCAGGCAGGAATTTCATCTAAAATAATCAATCTACTGATCTGAGATACCATACACTTTTGGTACATACAGTTTTACAACCATACAGTCCATACAGTTTTGAAATAAAGGGAAACAAAATAATACATTTTGGAATGCCATAAAAAGAATGATGCATATAAGTTATGAAAATAGTGAGAAAAACCCTGGGAAAAATGGCAAGTGTCAGGTCAGTGGCAGATTGCTCTGATGTCAGTGAAATTTGCTGTGAAATTAATAAAATTTGCTCTGACGTCAGTGAAATTTGCTCTGAGGTAAGTGTTGAGGACTTGACACAACACTTAGGTAAGAGGTCAGCACCGAGGTAAGCCGCACTGAGGTAAGCCGCACTGAGGTAAGCCGCACTGAGGTAA